GCTCAGCTCCCTGTCACCAATTTCTCAATGTCCCAGAACCCAGGTGGGTCACTGAGTGCCCCGTACCTCAACGCCCCTAACCCCATCTCCACTGCTCCCCATTAGCACCTATCTCTCCAGCCCCAAGGTGCCCTGTGAGCATTACCTTTGCCCTACCTGTTCTTTGTTCCCATGAGACCCTCGGCTGTCACACTGTCCTCCCTTCTCTCAGCCACATTCTTCCCTGATCAAGGCCTTGATCAAATGGCACTGTTTGTGATGACCTACATAGTCTCTCCCATTCCTCAGGCCCTAGGGAGTGAGGTGCATTAGAAACGCATGCTACATGGAAACATCCAGCCAGAGTATTAGGTCCCACCTGAGAAAAGACCAAAAGATCCAGGTGGAAAAGCTGTGATCCTCCTCCATCAGAGGGTTGACTTACCATCTGCTAGAAGGGAAAATACAATCACTCTGAAAATGAGAAATAATCAAGCTAAAACATTAAAGGAACAAAAATAGGCCAACTACATATACCATAGGGGCTCAAATATGTAAAGCTGTTATAAAATGATCTGCATGACAGTCAAACATGAGGTGTGATCAAAGTATATGGTGAATCTTCAAGTTAAAAAATTACTATTACAATAAAAAGCACATTGCCACTAATTCCATTCAAAACCTCCCCCAGCTTTGCATATATTTATCCCATCATTCTAGCCACTTTCTGAGCCATTTCTAAATGTTTTCTTTCCTGAGTGTCTTTACAAAGCATGATAAAAAAAATTACAGTAAATGTTGCTATCAAGTGCCATCCAATGGAAAGGCAACCTCATAAAAATATTCTGGTGTGCTGTCACCCACCTTATGCATTGGATCTGGCACCACGTGACTTCTGGATATCCTCCAGAAAACGTTTTGAATCATGACATAGAGGCAGTCACAACAACCCAACTAAAGACATTTAAGAATTCCTCCTCTAGCTCAAGTCTGTAGTCACAGCACTCTGGGAAGCTAAGACAGCAGGACTGCAAGTTCAGTTTCTATCTGGGGAATTTAGCAAGACTCTGGATCAAAATAAACAATACAAATAAAAAAGATCTTGTGTTCAATCCCCAGTACTGCCTATGTGTGTGCACACGTGTGCATGCATGCACACACTCACACACACACACACACACAGAGCCTACCTGGGAGACTGAACAGGAGCAGGATTTTCCTATCACTACTTATAGGTGGGGCAAGGCAGTGCAGGGAGGTGCCAAGTGTGTCAGCTGGGCATCTTCACCTTCCTCCTTTGTGCTGTCTTTATTCAGTGACCGCACATTTTGTAAGCATCACTCTTTCCATGAAAGCCCTGCAGATCCTTGGTTATGTGAAGGTGGGCGCCCTTCCTTGGCCCCTGCCATTTGTACCCAATGTTCAGCACTGGAGTTCATGTTATCAAACTACATAATGAGGAAGTGCCAGAGGTGAGTACTGCATCTGACCCTAGAGTACATAAGAAAATCATATATTTGGCAGCAGCCAGGAGTCCAGACCCCTGGCCTTGCCTATGAGCCCAAGCCCCACAAAGCCCCTGCCCTCCCCGCAGGCCACTGTAGGTCACAACAACCTGCACCTTCCTCCTCTTTCATCCCCTGCAGTTGAGTACAAAGGCAACATGAACAACCAAGTCTTTACCCCTCTGTCAAGTGTAGCATTTAAGTCACAGCAGACCCCAGAAGGGTCCATGCCCCTAGGTGGGTCTAGCATGTCCTTGTGTAGCCTCCTTTACTTGGAATCTAAGAGAAATGGCTAGCTCTGGACCCCACGGGATACGACAGGAACTTTGGATGGTTGAGGAGACTGGAACTATCCCTGTACGTCCCCCACCCCATCTCTGTACTTTCACTGACCTTTGCTTTCCAGGTCTCTGAGGGTTGTTGTTGCTGCGCCTGTAATTGTCCCTACTGAAGCTGTGCATGGGAAGGATACTTCTCCCTCCTAAGGCCTGGTCTCTGTCATTGTGAGCCCCTTTGTGCCTGCAGGTGAAGGAAGACTGGAACTACGTTGCCATGGTCATGGACAGGAGATTCTTCTGATTGTTCATCGCCTGCTTCCTGGGAACTGTCAGGCTCACTCTTCCTCCATTCCTGGCTGGCATTATCTGACTTCATGTTCTGTGTGTTGGCCCCAAGATAACCCTGCTAATCACCTTCTGACATCCTTAATTGTCGCTGCCTCCAGAGCATCCTTTGGAGTCAACACCATCTACCCATATTGCCTCTATGGAGTCCCTAAAGTGGCTCAGACATTGCAGCCTCCTAGGTACATTTCACCTTGACATCACTGCACCCCATAGTGTGATCTGCTGGATGCAAAGCCTAGCTTTGGAGGCTGCAGAGCTGGGAAAGGTGAAGGTATTTGCTCTGCAGAAGGCTGAGATGTGACAATGACAGTGTGAGGCAGATGATGATGCTCCTGCAGGAGCTCCTGGACCCCAAGTGACAGAGGGCATGCGGGAGGATGGACGGGTGGGACCAGGACAAAGAGAAACAGAATGCAACTCCAGGAGTGATGGAGACCGTGACAAAGCAGCTCTGAGCAGGACTTTAAATTAACCAATTGGCTTTTCGTGTTTACTTGTGAGTCTGTCTAAAGCCTAGGCTGCTTGTCTAGAGATGGGCAGTGGACTCACAGTAAGTGAACTTCTTTGAGTCACTGACCCCTGCTGAGGCCTGTAATGGTCAGTGAAGCTATGAAGCCTCAAAGGATGAGACAAGGTCACAGCCAAGGATAACAGGATCCAACCTCAACTAGGTAAAAACTATAGCCTCAGTCATCTCACTCCTGGGTGGATTAACTTAACACCTTACTTGGAGAAGTCCTTAAGTGGCTCTACTCTTCTGATAACTAAGTAAATATAGGCTACCCAGAGAAGGTCTTGGTCTTGGCCCCAAGAGAATCCTGAATTCTGTGAAAGGGTTTTGATCCTCCTGGAGTCCTAAAATCATGCCATTTGCCTCTTTTATTTAGCCTTCATCGTACAGTCATTCGGGAGACTGAGGACCTGATCAGTCTGCAGTAACTAAGGGATATTATTAACCTGATACAGGAGGGCACATGGAGAAAAGGGGAGGAAGCCTGGGGGTGGAAAGACTAGAAACAACATTGTGGGTGCAGGAAAGAGCCCAAATTGTCAAGGAGGAGCAGACAGGCAGCTGGCTACTTGCAGATAGTGGAGCCATTCCCCCACTGAAGTACCTCTGAGCCCCCTCTGCCTCCACACTGTGCCTCTCTCTTCTTTGCTATAAAGTGGCTGTCACCAGGCAGCAGAGCTAAGCCACTACCTGTGGAGCACCCTTGTACCAATCCATGCAGTGGACGAATGAAAAAGAATCCATCCTGAGTCATTCTTGTTCCAACTCAAACTTGCAGCTTGGGCTGGGTATAATGGCACACACCTATAATTCCAGCATTCTGCAAGGCTAAGGCAGGAGGATCACAGTTCAAGCCTAACTTGGGCAACTTCTGCATGAGCTTATCTCAAGGCTTACAAAGAGCTGGGGATGTAGTCAGTGCTACCTGGGTCCAATACTCAGTACTACAAAAATCAAAACAGAGCAAAAATTGAGCTTGTTGTGTAGCCCCTCTGTCCCTCCACTGGGCTTGATCGATGTTTTTTATGATTTAAGTTCTTTTAGTCTGAACTCCTCCAGGGCAGGGTGGATGCCTTCTGTCTCCCCTCCCCAGCACCTAGCACAGGGCCAGGTGTGTGGGATCCAGTCATCAGGATGTGTGGTCCATGAAGTGGGGGGCAGCAACTGAACGGGTTTGGGCCCCAGACTGCTGGGTAATGCCAAGGCCTTGGGAAGGTTCCCTCCCAGCCTTCCCTCCTGGATCTGACAGGCTCTGAATGGGTCTGTGTGGCTTTCCCAGGCATCATAGCAGAGAATGTTCCATGGTTTCAGCTGCTTGTGATTCCAGAGCTCAGCAGCTCACAGAGGTGGGCACTGAGCTCTCCAGACAGTGCCAGACTCTAGGCAGGAAGCAGACGAGGGGGAGCTTTCCATTTCCATGCAGTCTTGGGGCCCTTTCCTTCTAAACCCACACATACCTCTCCCTGGCAGGCCCGAGGGAAACTATCTGACCATGACTGTGGCATGTTTCTATTTCTGGGTCCTCTCAATCTATAAAACAAGAGTCCATGGGGTGAGGAAGGATGCTGACCAAGTAATCAAGTTCTCGGCAGGCAAATCATACTTAGGCCTTGGCTGAATCCAACCCTCCAGGCTGAAGATGAGTCTACAAAAATGGACATGCCCACCCAGCCAACTCACCTTAACCCAGCTTAACATAACTCCCTTCACACCAACATCCAGAGATTGACTAATGTTCAAGAGAATGGTCAGGACAGTGGTCAAATGTCTTAACCCATGTTTTACCTGTCTACACAGATGACGTTTCTTTTTGCCACCACATCCCCAGTGCACATCACACACTGAGCACGTAAAGCATAAGAAGTATTTGTCCAAAGAAATGAGTGCGCAAGTGAAAGGCAATCCCAAGGCTGTGGAGCTCTCCCACCAGATCTGAACCAGGACACTTGCCCCGGAAGCTGGCCAGGTACCAGGAGAATCCCAGCCCGAGATGGTAGCACAGAAAAACAAAGTATGCTGTTTCCTTTGTGTACCATTCAGGAAGGGAAGAGTGAGCTGCAGGTCACAAGTTAGCAACTACCTTTGAGGGGCACCACCTGAGGAGCACCTGAAGAACTCTGTGTGTTGTCATATTTGGCCTGAGTGCTGGGTATGTGCATGTGCACTTTGTGAGATTTCACCTCTCTATATATTCATGATTTGACGGGCTTTCAGTATATACTGTACATTTTAACAAAATTTTGCAAAATGATACAAAAGCAAATTGTAGACATAGAAATACTGCCATGTATATTTCTTTGTAATACCAAGAAAAGATTACAGAGCAAAACCTTCCATGTTTGTGATAAAAAAGTCCACATGCATAGAAATAGGATTATATAGCATTAGTTCATTTAAAAATATTTATTGAGCATGTACTATGTCCAACACATAATTTACCTGGAAGATACCTACACACAGAGCCATCCCATGCAGACCCTCACATGCACTGCCAGCTCCAGCTCTCATGCAGAGCCACAGCAGCACTGTAGCCCCCACGCCCACCACCCTGCTCCATAGCCCCATGTCCTGCACATGGAGGGGCTAAGTCAAGGGCAGCATGGATACCACCGACACATGATGCGTGAATGTCACGGCCACAGGCTACACAGCTGCATGCACGTGTCTGAGGAGCCTAGAACTACACGTAGCTAGGACACTGAGCCACAACCACCTGCAGGCCGCAGTGTGGGCAGCACAGAGCAGACACCCGGGGGACACAGCCTACTCTAGAGGGACAACACTGGGCAATAGCAACAGGGGCTCCTGCCTGTGCAGGGTCCTGATGTCACCTGCCAGGCTGGAAAGGGGTCAGGGTGGCACAAACAGGCATGGACTTCCCAGTGTGGGTGTGCTGGCAGCCAGATGCATCCTCATCCCTCATCCCTGCTTCCTAAGCAGCTCATCAACTGTCATCTCCAGATTGGAAAGACTTTCTCTCCAACCTGGAAGAGGTAAAAGAGAACAAATAATAATTTAACACTGGACAAGGGGATAGCATTCAGGTGTGGGTATTTTTTAAACAACAAACATTTAAACTTTGAGTATGAAATTATTAGAAATCCGTTATTAAAAAGTAAAGGAAATCATAAGACTCTTCTTCTTTATTTTCCATGAGCCCCTGAAACCTGAGGCCTGAGAGTACTTCCAGCAGCCCCCAACACCCTATTCCAGGCAGAGCTGCCCGCTTCCACCACCTCACATGTGAAGACAGAGGCCACTCAGCCTCCAGCACATGTCCAGACCAACTGCGGGGTATGAGAAAGGTGCCTTGTGAAAGGTGCCCGCCAGCACCTGTGTGTGTCTCGCCTCTCACTGTCTGCGTCACCTAAAGAAATGACTTCCCATCCTGAACCTTCCACTTTCCATGCTGGAAAAGGAGAAATGAAGATGGTAAGAGCATCCACTTCTTGTGTGAGGATTAAATAAAATGGTACAAAATGGCAGGCACCCTCCCAAGTGCGAACAAAACCTTTGCCATAGTTATCACCACCCAGAGCTGTTTTTATGAGGACAGCATCCTCAACACATAATTTTAAAACTAAATATCTTACTTTTTGAGATGTCGGGTCTTGTCTGGAAGTCACAGCCCAGCTCAGAGTAACTGACATGTGCCTTCTCCATACTGGGTTTCTTTGCAACACAACGGAACCTGTGACCACATCTCCCTTGTGGACTGGGACTGGGTCATCCATCATAAATAAGGTCTGTTTCCAGTGTGTGGTGCTGCAACACAGGATGTGGGTTACCTGCAAGCCTCACCTGCCAGGTGACCCAGCCCCAATGTCTTACACCCTCCTCAGGAGCCTGGGGACACAGAGCTTGACTTCTCAGTATAACAAAGAGGACAGATTTCCAACCCTAAATGGTCTTTATGAACCACTGTGGCTCAAAGCTACAACAGATAGTGGTAAGGACATTCCTCCAGAGACCTCTGAGGTTCCCAGAGGTAAGGAGGTACATCCAGGAAGCCCACTGGACAGGAGGCACAGGTGCTCAAACCCCCACTGGATGACGGCTGCACACCCAGAGTCACTCTGCTGTCCCCCAGCTGCTAATGCCAGGGTTACTCACAGCCATAAAAGAATGACATACACTGACTACACCAAGTCCCAAATTGTCATTTGTGTGAGGTGAAGTTAGTGTGAACAGGAGAGCTGTAATCCTGAGGGATTACTGCAGGATTCTCTCAAGGAGGTAGGAAACACTTAAGCTCTTTGAGCCTGAGGCCCACATGCCCAGCACTATTCATAGGCTGGCCTGGGACCCTGTCTGTTCTCTGCCCAAACATCCTTGCTCTTCCTCTCCTCCCTGAATGCATCACCTTGAGGGCAACTGCCCAGAAACCCAACATCCACCTGATTTCCCATCTGCTGCCTATGCTAGGTAAGGAGAGGCTGGAAGGCAGCAAGACCCGTGCTACCACTCCCTCCTGGAGTGGTACCTGAAGGCAGTGTACACTGCTGTGCATGGCTGAAAAACCAGGGAATTCTGGGTAGTCCCTCAATTCTGTGTGCTTCTGCCATGGGAGGCCAAGGGGTTCGCTTCTGTCATGGGAGGCCAAGGGGTTCGCTTCTGCGGCAAGGGTGATACTCGAGGCAGTGGCAAAGGGGACCAGGCTGGTCCGTGCTCTATGCACCTTCCTGGTGCACATACCCCCACATACTCCCATAGGCACTCACGGGTGCAGTGGGCCAGTGCTGAGCATCTCCTGTGGCTGGCCCTCCTCCAAGCTCTGGAAGTGCACACTGAACCAAGCTGTGAAGCCATGCAGGGTCCCGGACTTCTGGATGTCGAAGTGCAGCTCCCCACGCATGGTCTGCACCAAGCACAAGACAGTGTTTGGGGCCATGCAGCCTGCTCCAACCAGAACCCCAGGCCTAGTCCAACCTAGACCTCAACGCACAGGATTCATAGACCAGCCCCAAACACAATCTCAACTACAATCCAACCCCCAAATGCAACCCAAACCCATCCCTAAACCTGACCTTAAGCCAGCTCAAACCACATAGTTTGCAGATCAGGCCCAAATACAATACCAACCCCAACACTAACCACAACCCAACCCTACCCAATCCCAACTCAACCTAACTGCAACCACAACCCACATACAACACAACCCCAATGGCAAGTCCCAGCCCAAGTTCATTCCCAACCCTAACCACAACTCCAACCCAACCCAGAGGGTTCACAGCCATGGCCCAAACACCAGAGTCCCTACACACAGTTCAGGTTCCAATGCATAAGCCTAGTTCAGGCTCCACTCCCAATGCCCCAAAGTCCTGCCCGCACTATGGAGGCTGCCTGCTCAGCACGGACCCTACCTGGGACCCTGAAGACCCGCCAGGCCAGCCAATCCAATGTGTGAGTCACACAGGAAATACATCAGGAATTTTATCAATGGTAATTAAAAACCCTTGAAAGAATTTTTAATTCAAATACAGTACCAGAACACACAGAATATAACTTAAGGGATTTTGACGATGCCAAGGATATTAAACACCTAAAAATAACTGAAGATGCTAGAGATTAACTATAAAGAACATGATGTAAAAAATTGAAAATCAAAATGAAACACAAAAAAGGAAAAACTGGAAAATTCAATAGTAAATAGTGTATAAATTCACTCTTTTGTTTGGTAAAACAGTCACCAATACCCCACACTGGCTGAAGGCCTTTGATGAGCCAGGCACATGCCAAGTGTCACTGGCAGCGAGAGAGCAGTCGCCTCTCCTCACCTCTACATCAGAGATCTGCACGGTTCTCATGTCCAACTGCAGTATGGTGCAGGGCTCAGAGAGACAGTCTTCTGGCTTCAGAATGTGATTATACTTGGGCTTTGAAAAAAACTCCTTGATTGCTAAAGATCTGAGGGAAAAGGGCAAAGGAAGGGCTCAAGGTCATCACAGAGATCTTGCTTTGAAACACATCTGACAGAAGCAAGAGCTCACAAGCCAACAGCAGCAGAAGGCTCACCAAGTCTGGTGCGTGGGCTCAGGGCAGCCCTAGGAACCTGCCCTAGAGGTCTTGCCCCAAGGGATCTACCCTGTGGGACCTGCCTAGAGGAAAAGCTGTTGCCCCAGGGCCTACCTGAGCCTCACTTGTCACCAGGACCTCCCTTTCATGTCCTATCCAGGGATCTGAGCACAGGATGCCAGCCTTCACCACATGACACCCAGGGTTAGTGTTCAGTGTGCTTTCTTTTGCTTTTGAATCTCTTTTTTCTGAAGCACTTCTTGTGGATTTCCTATGACATCCACATACAGAAGCAACTCTGGCTGCCAGCTTCTCTTAATGAATGTGATACACAGACGCCTGTGCTGAGATGGACACTGGGTCCACCATGCAGGTCTGACAAATCTTGTTGCCTTTCATGCCTTTCTACTTGTGTTGCCCACAAAACCATTTGCCACAAAAATCTTTTAACACTCAGCACAGCAGTAACTTCTGGAATAGCAAGCACTGCCAATGTTTTCACAAACATTACATATTTCTGATTATATTTCTCATGATAAAAATAATAATGAATGTTTAGAAAACTGGAAAATACAGACAAGTGTAAAGAAATATCTTCAACTACTCATCCTCTTGCTTTGAATGTTTTGATACACTGGTTTTTCTCCCCATACACATTAGCATACACTTACTTATGCAAAAAAAAAAGTCATTTTATAAAAATAGTTTGTCCTGCCAATTTTACTACATCTTAAACCATTCCTAATACATAACGTCACACCTTGGTACTCAACTGCTTTGAAACTGGTCAAACTTGTCACATTTTATGCCAGTGCCTGTCATTCATTTGGTGCTCAATCCACAACCTAGAACTTGGTGTTGACTGCTTTGTGACTTGCTACCCTTTCCAGCTAAAACAACTGGTACTCATTTTTGGTAATTGTCACACCTCCTGGGCCAATTAACTATGATTACAAATGTACCATTATCCTCCTAGATAACCATTTTTTTTAAAAAACAGCACTAGATACGCATGAGGTGCTGTGCAGCAAGTTACATACATCTGTAGGATAGCTGCTTGTGCTAATAAGTCTTCCATACACTCCAACCAGCAGCACGGGGAGTGGTGTGGGTCTGAGGCCCTAGGCCCTCACTCTGCAGCTCTGGAGAGACAACGTCCATCTGCCCCGCAAGCACTGCTGGGTGTGCAGGCAGCTGCTGCCAGACAAATACATGCTGTATTTTAATTTATTCTTTGCTTGTCTAGTAGGCAAAAATAGCATTTATTTTAATTATTAAAAACAGTCTTTTAAAAATTCTAATTTTTCAAGTATTTATCAGTAATTTCACTCATTTCTGTGACTTGGCTATTCAAGTGATTTGCCTATAACCCAGTATGGATATTCATCTTTTCCTAATAGATTCTAAGATCTGTCTGCAAGTATTGCTCCTACTTATTGTCTTATAGTTGTTTTTTGCTGATTTCTAGCACACAAATTCCATCAAACCCATCCTTACCCTCCTGATTTGTAAGCCACTTCTTAAAATACTCTGCTCCATGCTTTCTGCCCTGTCCTGCTGGTCTGTTTCTGGCAAGGCAGTGCACAATTACTCCAGCCCCTCGAAGATTTTAACACCTGGCAGCCAAGTTCCCTTCCCACATCCTCCCAGATGAAATATCCAACCACCTTCCCCTCTACTCCCTCTGAGATTCTGACTAAGGGAACAATGGTTCCATACATTAACTGGAGAAGATTTTATACCCTTGTATTTTTTTCTTTTATTTCTTAATTTTTCAATTAAAATTGTTCCAGAAACTCCAGGCTTTGCCCCAACTCCCCACCTACAAGTATCAACAGGAGCCCAGGCTAATCTGGCCCTCACCTAAGGAACCAGAGCTTTCTTATATAGTCATACCTTGATACTCCAGTGCTTTGAAACTCATCGAATTTGGTATGTGACTAATTTTAGCACAAAACTTTTGTCCTGATACACTTTGTTGGTTTGGTATGCAATGTGCCTCCCAAGTACCAAAGTACCACTGTGCTGACTTAAGCAGGCTAGAGACAAGCAGCTGGGAGGTACTTGAAAACTAAAGATGTGATTTTTCTTCCCTTTTTAAATCATTAACTATAGATATGATCCCTACAAGCTTGTAGCTTCAAACTTCAGATCAAGAGAATATAACATCTCTAGGCTAATAAAAAGTTCAGGGTACTGGTGAGGGGTTGGAAAAACCTCACAGTCTCAAAACAAACTAAATGGAACAGGCACCCACTTCCCTCTGAAGCAGGTAAACACAGTCATTTTATTTTTTACAGGAACTACAACATAGGGATTACCTCAGGGATGGAGAAACAGAATCCTGGGCCTTTACCTGCTGCCCATAAAAAACAGGATTTGTGGTTTGTCCTGAGACAGCCAGGGATTTAAAAGCCACTTTTGCTATGAACCATAACTCTTCACTAGGGCCTATAGTTGCCCAATAGGTAACTAAGAGCAGAACGAAGACTGACCTTTTATCCTTTGCTATTATAAATCTTGAGGCAAGTATCTTCTTAGCTCTGCATATAGATAATCACTCAGGGGTGTTTGTCTAAAAGTTGGCAAAACAAGGCTGAAGTGTTTTTTTTTTTTTTTCGTACCAGGAATCAAACTCAGAGGCCAGGGATATAGCTTAGTGGCATAAGCGCCTGCTTAGCAAGTGCAAGGTCCTGAGTTCAATTCCCGGTACCAAAAAAAAAAAAAAAAGGATTCGAACTTACGACCTTGCACTTACCAAGCAGGCCCTTGTGCCACTGAGCTATATCTCTGGCCCAAAACAAGGCTGATTAACCCTTATTTTACATATTCTGACCCCATTCAAGATTGAGGACACCAAGATGGAGGATCTGCAGGCACATCCAACTATGCCCAGAAGTATCCAGCCCTTGTCCTGTATCTGACACCTGTGGTCACCTAGTAACAAAACCATCCCCACCCATAAAGATTCCAGATCTATGACACAAGGACTGAGAAACTATGACACCAGCAATGGGGTAATATGAACTGGCCCCTAGCCCATCAGCCAATCCTTGAAAGTTGGTCTCCTGACATTCTGGATGGGCCAGTCTGAACCCCTGTATGAGCAACAGTTCTTTCTGGTGAATGAGGCCATTCCCTCACGTCCACAGCACCCTCTCATCACCCTCTTCCCAACAGAGGCTACACTCAGTAAGACAAGCTCAGCAGCGAATCACCTAGTTGGAACCTAAGGTTCAACCCTGAAAGTGTGTCTGTGTGTTGAAAACCAGAAAGGCAATTATTTCCGAGTATTGCTTTCTGTGCAAAACACTGTGAACCACCAACATATTTTCTTACACTCATTAAAGATTTATAGCTTTCAGCTAGGCCTGGTGGCACACTCCTATAATCCTGGTACTTTGGGATTGGAAGGCTGAAGCAGGAGGATCACAAATTCAAACCCAGCCCAGGCAACTTAGTGAGAACCTGCCTCAAAATAAGAAATTTAAAACCCTGGTTATGTAGCTCAGTACAAAGACCCTGGGTTCAATTCCCAGTACTATAGTGTGTGTGTATGTCAGGGGTGCTTACAGCTCTCAGTGGGAACAAACACATTTTTAAAACTCGTACATTTTTGAAAGCCTAATTTTTAAACATAACTTTTTTCCCATTATATTTGAGAACTTAACTTGAAGACATCTCAATTCCAAACTCATCTCAAAAAGCAATGTGCAAAGTTCTTGGGTGCAGGGTGAGTTTAGAATAACTCAGGAGAGCCCAATTCTGAAGGTGGGGCTTTCTTCCCCAAGCTCTTGCCCCTCCGCCATCTCCCTCAGGAGCAGAGTGTGCTACATGACCTCCCCAGTGGCCATCTCACAGATCCAAAATGGTGTGGCCAGGGCCCAGAGCAGAGAAGGAAACAGCACAAAATCCCAGCAAGGTTCTCACAGTTGTCCTGGACCGCTAGGTGAATAAAGGACAGTTTTTCTACAACAACTATGTTTCCCGGGGAATTACCAGGATGACCCCTGAGAAGGCACGGGTGTGTGCAGCACAGAGGCAGTGTTCAGGAAGGCTGTCAGCCCAGTGTGATTGGCCCAGCAACTCCCTCCCTGCCAGTAACCCGGGGTGGCAACGCACAATGCACACCTACTTGAGCGCACTGAGGTTGAACTCGTAGGCATTGTCCCAGAAGAGGACCTTGCTGTGGTAATCCTTGTCAGCACTGCAGGGCACCAGGTGCAGGGCGGCAGTGGTCGGCCAAATGACCCCATCCTCCTTCAGCCATGTGTCCCGGGCATACAAGATGGACTCAATCATGAATTCAAACTGCATGGGAGGTGAGACACATGGAGACTTGTCACCAGGGTTCACCAGCCAGGGTCACAAAGTGACAGCCCACCTGGGAGTACTGGTCTGAGCCTCACACTACTAAGGCCAGGCTGGCGAGATGGGAGGGTCTGTTCTACACCCACAACTAGAATCACAGATGTGTGTCAAGGCATCCTCTCCTGTTGGACTGGGAACTAAAGGGCATCTAACAGCCAGGGCTCTCAGGGCTGCATGGGCTCAGTTTGTTCTAAGGTATTTTCAGAATTTTGGCAACCCTGAAACCTAAACCTTTCCTAAAGCCCTGGAAAATCAGGCAGGTGAGCAGAGGTCCTTCCTGCACACTAGAATCAGGGGCACAGGTGGATTCTACCTTCCGCCCTCAAGACAGTGGGTCATCTCTGTGACAGAGGACCCTCAGCCCCAAGGTCATTGTCCCAGAAGACACTTCCAGTCTGACCAGCATTCACTTCAAACTGGGGAAAAAAGAGAGTGAGACTGAGGCTAGAGGTCCTTAGACCTAAGGAAACAACAGGATTCTGCTTTTCTTAATTAATTTAAAAAGATTTTAGCCAGGCATAGTGGTACCTGACTGTAATCTCACATTCAGGAGGCTGAGGCAGGAGGATCACCGGGAGTTCAAGGCCAGCCTGGACTACATAGTAAATTCAAGATCAGCCTAAACTACATAGTGAGACCCTGTCTCAAGAAAAAAAAAAAAAAAAAAACACACTAAGCAGATTTTTATTGTAGAATAAAACGCTCAGTATAAAAAATTTAGAAAATTCAGAAATGAACAAAAATAAAAATCACAAGTAAACTCAGCATCCAGAAGGAATCACTGTTATCACCCTGATTTATCTCCAAGTATTTTTCACAGCTACAAATATACACACATGAAACACATATTCTTATATGTAACTTAAAAATTTTAGTTTTTGTTACCATACAGCAAGCTGACCGTCTTTATTATACAGCCTGACACTTGTGGCCATCTGTATATCACAACCACAGCCAGGATACACAACCCCATTACCTTAATAGTCTCCCAATAGCCAGTCCCTTCTCAACCCAGGCTCTGGAAACCTCTGATCAGGTTTCCACCCTGCAATACTGTCTTTTGGAGCACAGCATGTGAATGGAGTCACATGGTAAGGAGCCTTTGAGACAAGTTTCTTTCACTCAGTGGAAGGACCCTGGGTTCATCCACCCGAATGTGTGCTTTGAGGATTCTCTCCATTGCGTGGATGTGCCAGTGTACCCACTGACATGCTGAAGGACCCCTGGACTGTTTCCAGCTTTTGAGCAATTACAGTTATTCCATACAAGTTTCTATGTGAACACTGCCTGCACTTCTCCAGGGTAAACACCCAGGAAGGGACTCTGGGTCACAAAGCAAGTGCTGCATCACACTGGAGGAGCCCAAACCTGCCCAGAGTGATTCCCAAAGGCATCCACAAGGGTTAGCTGCTCCACATCTTTGCCAGCACTTGGTACAGCTGTTGTCTTCCTCATTTTGGCCACCCCTCAACAGTTATTTTCTCACCATGGTCTTAAGGTGCACTTCCCTTAAAACTCTCTTCATATGATTGTCTGCCAGTGTATATCCACTCTGATGAGGTCGTTCAAATCTACCCATTGTTCCCTGGGTTGTTTTCCTCCTGTTGAGTTTTGAAAATTCTCTGTATATTCAAGGTACAAAACGGATGTGTGATTTGCAGTATTTCCTCTTAATCTTAGCCTGCCTTTTCATTCTCTTAACATGAACTTCTGCAGGGAAAATATTTTAATTTTGATGAAATCCTATTTATTATCTAAACATTTGGATCATGCTTCACAGCCTGTCTTAGTTACTTTTCTCACTGCTGAGATAAAATACCTGACATGCAAAGTTAAAGAAGGAAAGGTTTATAGTTTATCATTTACAGAGGTTTTATTATTTTTTTTTAATAAACATGGATCCATTTATGAAACAGGATAGGAACAATACAAACATTAGAGAGTTATGGATAGATTAGTAGGAAAGTATCAATGACTGCTGTAATACATGGTGGTATCTTCTTCTTTTTTTTTTTTTTGGTTTTTCTCCGGTACCAGGAACCGAACTCACGACCTTGCGCTTGCCAGGCAGGCGCTTTGCCGCTGAGCTAAATCCCCAGCCCCCATGGTGGTATCTTCAAAGTGGTTTCTCAGGAAGAGAGATACACAAGAAGGATCTAATGAGTAGTTACAGCCTAAGGGTTGTCAAAAATCAAGTGAGCCGTCTGGGGCAAAAGCCATTTTTTGCAGCGTTTTCTCTCCAGCCTCCCATCGCATTGGGACCCCACAACCAGTTAGTGTCCTCTCCCCAGCTGTCAAGCACAGGCAGTAGGAATCCTGCTGCAGACTTCTCCGAAGCTCCACCACAGTCTGTACTGTCAGGGGAAGAATGGCTTCCAATGAGTCTCTGCAGGTATTGTGCAAGGTCCTCCTGGTTTACAGCTTCCGAGCGGCTCTCATGATCCCAGTCCACTGGACCTCTGACTCCGTGGGCTTAGTCTGCATTCTCATGTTCTCTGAGTCCTTGTTCAGCAGCTGCTCCTCCACTGGCTCTGGACCTTTCTGGTTCTCAATGGCAGGAGCAACAGTGGCAAGTTGTATGGCATGTATTCCCAGGGGTTGTTCAAAGTTTGAATGATTCACACACATCCGTGGGTGGGCATCTGCAGTTGGTGCATGGTGGGCCAATTGTGTCACTGTTTCTCTGTGTCATGATAGATCTCAATTGAGCGGTGGCGGCCGGCCTAAGGGCCGGCGCGCAACAGTGCTCGCTGCCGCGTGGCTCCCCATGTGCTGGGGGCCCTCCCTCCGGGGGCCTACGAGGCAGGAAGCTAGCCAGCTGGAAGACGGGCACGCCCCACCCGTGGCTCCCTGTGCGCCAGAAGTCCTCCTTCCGGGGAACTACGAGGCCAGGAGGGAGCCGCCTGTCCAAAGACCGGCGCTCCCTGCCCCTACAGAGGTTTTAGTCCATAACTGACTGGCTCCAAAACCTGATGGCCTGGCAGGGCAACATGGCAGAGCAGCATGGCAGAAGAAAAGCAGACTATGGCAGGGCAGACAGGAAGCAGGAAGCAACAAAGCAGCAGCAGCAGCAAGGCTCCCTTTTCCTCTTATTCCACTCAGGCTACAAACCTATAGGTTGGTACAACCCACACCCATGGTAGATGTTCCCATTAGCCACACCCAGAACTGTTCTGTGGTGGATTGACAACTGGAAATCGAGTTGCAACATCCAGCTGAACTGAATCAACATGGCACTAGGTGTGGGAGGCCCACCTGAGGATTGCTGCCAACAGAATAAAAAGAACTAGAGAAGAAGTTCAGAAGCTGTTGGGAGGCTGCAGGAAGCTGTTAGGGAGCTGTTGGTTCTCTTGGAGGAGCTTATCATGCTGGCTTTCCTGATGAACTTGACTGTTCTCATCAGTGAAGGAGCTTGGGACCTTCTTGCCACTGAGAATGGTTTTCATTCAGTTTGGGGCAGCTCTGGTCCTCACTCTGAGCATTACTTCCTGGTTCCAGAGGGGAAGATGGTGCACTGCTCAGTCTCCAGGAGAAGCTTGATGAGCTTAATCTTAGCCTGCCTTTGGATAATCTTAGCCTGCCAATTTACCAGCTAAACATATAGATAAATATGATCCATATATTTAGGTGATAAACTGGATTTCCTGATGAGCTTGGCTGTTATCATCATCAGAGGAGCTTGGGACCTCACTGTTGCTGACAATGGCTGAGGTACTTTTCAGAGGAACTCTGGTTCTTACTTTGAGCATCACTTCCTGGCTCTAGTGCAGAACCCTCAGCCTGCTAGCACAGATCCTTCATCCCACTGGCAGAGACTTTCTAGTTTCTACCACTGACTTTTGGGTCTTCCCAGCACAGATCCGTGATGTAGTCCTGCATGAGACATTGTCATGGGCTCTTGGTCTCCAGCTGGACTTGTGGAGGGGCACTGTTATGGGCTGTAGGTCTTCAGCTGGACTCATGCAGGATACTGATGTTGGATCCAGGCCCTCAGCTGGATTCTTTTGGTCTTTAGTGTGTGGACAGATTTTCTGCACTCATAAACTATATGCCCTGTATTAAATTGTTTCCCCCTGTAAATCCCTGACTACAACATATTCTAAACTACTTGATGGACTAATTTAGTTATCACATACCTTTAATCCATATTCATGTACCCTATCCAGCCATGTCCAAAAAGCCTTGGGGGCACATCTAGATACAAGCCATAACAGAGCCATACCTAAACTCTGCCTAGCTCCAGATCATAATGACTTTTTTCTTATACTTTCTTATATTTTACACACTTAGGTCTATGATCAATTTTAAATTTAGTATGAGATCTGAAGTTTAGGTTATGGTTCCTCTTGGTTCTGGATATGGTTGCCAACAATTTAATAAACTTTGTTGAAAACTTCCTCCACTAAATTGATTTTGTACCTTTGTTAAAAATCAACTGACCACATCTGCAGAAATCTATTTCCCTATTCTGTTCCACTGACTTGTGTCTAGCCCTTCATCAATGCCACACTGTCCTCAGTAGCTTTAAAATCAAGTAAATAATTCTTCCAACTTTATTTTTTGCAGGCCCTGGCATACTATGTAGCTGAGGCTGGCCTCAAACTCACAGTGATCTTCCTGCTTCAGCCTCCTGAGTGCTGGGAATATAAGCATGCGCCAGTGTGCCTGGCCCCAACTTATTTTCTCTTTAATTGTATTGCTTGGGCCGCAGATATAGCTCAGTGGCACAAGTGCCTGCCTGGTAAGTGCAACGTCCTGAGTTCGATTCCTGGTACACACACCCCAAAAAAATTGTATTGCTGTTCTAGTTCCTTAACATTCCACACAAATTTCAGAATGAACTTGCTTATATCCACCAAAATAATCCTGCTTGACTTTTGACTGGAATTTACTGTCAATCACCCTGAAAATGGATGTTTGCCAGATTTAGCAGGCATCCACTTCTACGCCCAGCATATTGTGTCTCTCCATTCCCTAGATCTCCTGACTTTCTGTATCAGCACCTTGCAGTTCTCATATATAGTTCTTCTATACATTTTGTCTGATTCTTAGCATTGTATTTCATATCTCTGGAGTTACTGTAAATGATATTCCTTTAATTTCAGATTCCAATTTTTAGGGTATAAAGACACAATGTTTTACAATTATCTTTCACTCTATAAACTTGCTAATCTTACTTATTAGTTGTAGGAAATACTTTTGTAGATTATTTAAAACTTCTTTATTTTTTTATTTTTTTTATTTTTTTTCCAGTACCGAGAATTAAACTCACAACCTCACGCTTGCCAGGCAGGCGCTGTGCCGCTGAGCTAAATCCCCAACCCCCTATTTAAAATTTTCTATAAAGATAGTCATATTAACTGGGAATAAAGATGGTTTTGGTTGTTTTTTTGTTTGTTTGTTTTCCCAGTACCGGGAATTGAATTTACGACCTCGCGCTTGTCAGGCAGGCGCTGTGCTGCTGAGCTAAATCCCCAGCCCCTAAAGATGGTTTTGTTTACAATCTGTTTATTTCTTCCTTTTTGTGTAAGTTTGGAGTTCATGTACTATGCCGAACAGGAATGGACCACGTAGTTACCAGTGTCTTAGCCCTACTCTTTTGGAAAGAAGTACCAATTACTTCCCTGCTGTGTATGAAGTCAGTTGGAGGGTTTTGTACCTGAATTTTATGAGGCTGGGACAGTTCCCTGCCATTCCTAGTTTGCCAGATGGAACTGATACTGAATTCTGTCAATTTTTTTCTGTATTAACTGATATAATTGTGTGGTTTTCTTCTTTGCTCTGTAAATATGGTAGTTTTCACTGATTGGTTTTCAAATTCTGAACCAGCTATGCATTCCAAGGATAATCTCTTATTGTACTCTATTATTCTTTTAACATATTGCTGTATTACATTTGATAATATTTTCTTGAGGATTTTTCATTGGTCTGTAGTTTTCATATTTTTGTAATAATTTTTTGGTTTTGGTATTAAGGCAATGTTGAACTCAAAACAAGCTGAGACATACTCCCTCCTCTTCTATTATCTAATGTAGTTTAGAATTGGTGCTCTTTGTTCTTTAAATGTACTGGCAAAATCCACCAGTAACATCAGCCTCAGACAGTGGTGGTGAACCTTTCACAGCTTTCAATGATATAAACAGTTCACTATGACACGTATGCCATAGGTTTGCCACTACTGGCCTAGAAATCCTGCTTTCAGAAGGTTTTTAATGAGTGCAATATCCTCATTAGCTACAGGACCACCAAGGTTATCTATTTCATCTGGGTGAAAAGTGTAGTTTGCAGTTTTCAAAGGAATCAGTGTACTCTGTGCATGTTGTTTAATTCGTATAGATAGAGATCCAAGGGAGCGGAGTGACCAACTCAAGACCAGCTCAGCAGTGCTTCAATTCTTGCCTTCTTCCCTAGGATATTGCTACCACAAAACCTTTCTCCCTGTGCCTGGCCAGGACCCACAGCTGAATCGGGGGAAGACACTGGGAGTGAGCCCTCTCCATCCTACCTAGAAGTAAGCCAGGTCACTGCTGCATATAATTTAATGAAACAAACTGGAACCGTGCTGCACATACTCTTTGTACTTTAAAATCACCAATATGTCCTCATATCTTAGCTCAGATTATTAAAAATCTTTCTAAAACATAATTTTAGTGATCATATGGATTGTCATAATGTTTCCACTGTTTCCAATATTCTACTTGAATAAAATGGTGCTGTCATGAACTTTTTTAAACATAAAGTTCTGTAAAAATCTGTTGCCTTAGGTAATGGAATATTACTCAGCTATAAAGCAAGATAAACTCCAGGCTTTTATAGGTAAATGGTCACAACTACAGACCATACTCATAAGGGAAATAAACCAGACCTCCATGTGTAAGCAACGTATTGTCTCACTAGTGTAAAAACCTGAAAGAGTGAATAAAAATTAGGAGGTATGACAGACACTGTGAAACGAAAAGAAAATGCTCAAAAGTAAAGAGCAACTGGGGTGAGGGAACAGAGAAAAGAAAGAAAGGGAAATTATGTATATATGTAAATACAGGATAGCTAACATAGTTGTACTACTGACTTCTACTGCTTTACTGAAAGGAACAGTTAATGATTAATTGATCAATCTTGCATGTCTCTATTTGTTTTCCTGAGAAACCACTTTGAAGATATCAACAACCAATGACCCACCTGTCACTCTCTTCCTACCACTTTGTCTGTACCTCTGTACTGCATGTATTGTTCTTATGCTGTTTTGTAAACGGATGTCTGTTAATGTTTTCCTTCTATTTTTAAAATAAATTTTAAAAAAGTTTTCTTAAAATAATTCCATTTAAAAAAGGTTAACACTTTTTTTGTGCTCACTTTGGCAGCATATATACTAAACATTTTTAATGCTTTTTGACATGTTCTGCCCTATTTTACCTCAAAAAGCTGTAGCAATTTACAATAACCCAAAACACGCATAATGGTGCACATCTTCCCACAAACAACAATACTGGTTAGATGACTGCCCAGACAACTCCTCCAAGCAGAAATATTTATGTAATTCTCTCATGACGGCATGAGGCTCATACTTCTGTATCCTGCAGTTCTCTGGGGCATTCATTGCCTTTCCCTCCCTCTCCCCACTGCCCATGAGGCACCCATCTCTTGCTTTCCTTCATGCCTTGCTGGAGCTCCTTGTATCATAAAAGCTGCAATTCTTATATGATAGAATAGTTTCACTCACCTTATGATAATTTATTTATAAATGGTAGTTTTTCATCAAATATTTTTAGTTTTTGCTTTGTTCTTCAAACAATCTTTTTCACCCTAACATCAGAAAAACTTTTAGTAGTTTTATACTTAAACAAACAACTCTTTACCCATGTGAACTTTAATCAGCTTGTGCTGTGAGGGATCTGTTTTCTCCCAGTTTATCACCTGTATTACTTCTGTCTCTGACTGACAATACCCGTCTCTCCAAATGGAAGCCTGAGCTCTCACCCACCTGTCACTCTCTTCCAAGCTAGCAGTGTGCATGACAAGGGAGTGTGCCGTGTGTGTTAGAAAATAACCACAACAGTCCAGCTGACCCACCAGCAAGACCAGGGTGGGTGGCTTCCAAGGCCAAGCACCAGGTCTCACAGCTACTAACCACGGCTACCAAGCACCACAGGGCAGCCTAAAGTGAGGAGCCAGGAGCCAAAGACTGCTGACCTAACTAGAGAAACCACCTTACTGTGCATTCTGGACCACTGCAAGCCCCCAGGCAAGGCAGTTTCTATGACTCATAAGAAAGTGACATTAACTTCAACTTAGTTTCCTACACAGGTATTTTTCTTCAATCAGTTAAAAATCCAAGACACTGACCCAGAGTTCATAGAAGAAGTCAATTATGCCTCACCATAGGAGAAAAATCAAAGCTAATCATGATTTCTTAAGATCTCTGAGGCAGGCCACAATGTCTAGTTCCAGAAGCTCCAAAACCCACTGCCCCTGGCCAGCACAGGCCAGCCCTTACCAGCAGGCAGGTCCCCATCCACTCAGACACCAGGACATCTACTTTCTCAGGCAGTACCACATCCTCCACCTTCTGCTGGAACACGGTGATGGTGTCAGCAAAGCCGTTCTGCAGGACCAGCTGGCCCGTGTGCTGTGCCATCTCACTGGCCTCCACAGCGTATACCTGCAGTGGCAACATGCTCAGCAGTGCACATCCTGACCCCGTGCCGTGGCCCGTGTCCTCTACCTTCCTTCTGGATCACAGTCAGCACAGAAAGTTGCACAGTGTTGGACAATAGTGGGTGGTGCAGACCAATGCCCACAGCTCACCCCCTCAGGTGATGCCCAGGCAAGCTGTAATTGCTAACCCTGCCACCCACCCACTCTGCAGGTAACAAAACCACTACCCACCCAGCTGCTCCTGCACTCAGAAAATATGACCACTGTCTGGAGAGCAGCCAGTCTGAGAACACAGTGGCCTGAGGGGCAATTAGACCACCCTCATACAAAGGGCGCTGGGGTTGGTCCTGCCAGCAAATTCTCAGCAGCTTCCATCATTAAGCCAGCATCTCGTATACTGTGTCAGGCTCTGGGGGGAGGAGCCATGAAGGGAGGGTAGGGAGGCACAAACACTGACTCCAGGACATACGTCTTATATTTAATTGAAGTAACAGCTCAAAAAACACACCCCAGAGCACAACTTACTCAGTCACATCCACCCTATCCCATGCCACTCCTAACTGTCCGTGACCTGTACATCCATCACTGTTGCCCATCTGCCTGACATTAGGCCTCACTCACAAGGACACACCAGGACCACTGAGTCACCCTACAGCCAACCTGGTGACAGCACCTATCAGACTCAGATACCACCTGGGGTATCACTTTGTACCCTACTCACCGCCTTGGGTCGTGCATGGTGTGCACAGAACAGGCTGATGATGCCAGTACCACAGCCAACATCCAGGATGACTTTGTCCTTCAGGGATTCCTTGTTCTGCAGGATGACACTGTGGTATTTTGTTGTCCGTGGTTGGTCTGCCAACATTTCCAAATGCAGTTTCTAGAGGAAACACACTGAGCATCACTGTGAGGCCACAGTGGGCAGTGCAGGAATGAAACAGGTTTCTGGAATTCTCCCAGTGCAGGCCAGTACCACCTGCAACTCTCCCTGTATCTCCCCTGGAGCCAAGTGAGCAGTGGGGACCACTCCAGATGGAGGAACAGACACCTCCCCGACAGTCAGCGGGATGTTGCATCCTTACCAGGTATCTATCAAAAGAGAACACTGAACATGTCACAGGAGAGCTGTCAGTGAGGCCCAATGAGCTCCTCTTCACACATAAGTTTGCCCCTTGATTGCCTGAGGGTGGTGGAAATTATAGCTTGCATGGAGGTAACAAATCTGGTTGGCCCATGCAGCACGGTTGAGAAAGGAAAGCATCTGGGCCCCAGGAAGACAGAGAAAGGCCCCCTTAGGATGCTGGCAGAGCCCCGGGCCACTGCAAGGATGCAACACACCCCACCATCCTCGGCTGCAAGACCCAGCTACAGAAGAAGCACCACTAGAGGGAGATAAGCAGCCAGCAGAGCCCAGGAGACCTTTCTGGGACACACAGGAGCCTGGATGAGGACCCTTGCAGCTCCTCACAAAGACACCACAGCAGAATAAAAACAAAGGGGCAGGAGGCAGGAGGCTAATAGAGAGGAAAGTCAAGCCCACTCATCTGACAAAAGTATCCCCTTGACACGTAAGCCCAGACTGGGTGAAACACAGGATGGGAAGGCATGCCACACTCACACCATGGGAGGAGAGCTGGAGCAGCTGCACTGACATCAATCAAAAGATATTTCAGGGAAAGGCATGTTCCCAGGTGACAACAACACAGGAATTGACTCATCAAAAGGACGTCATAACTCTAAATATTTCTGTGCCTGATAACAGAGCGTAAAAATATAAGCAGCAAAAACCAACAGAAATGCAAGAAACAGAGTTCGTTACAGGTAGAGTCCGACACCCTCCTCAGTAACCGACTAAGTGGACAGGGCACATCAACAAATGTTTAAAACAGTAATAACTAGCCCAAAATGTTCAGAGATAAATTTAACAGGAAAAGTAGACCGCTGTGTACTATAAAAACCTTAAAACTCTGATATGAAACAAGGCCTGAGCAAAGATAGAGAGTAGACACCACAGAGATTCGTGCCTCCCAAAATGCTACTCACAGTCCAAGCAGCTCCAACTAGAGCTCCAGCCAACCTGGCATGGGGGGCACAAAATGAGAGTATCTTTTCAAAACAATAAATGCCAACGCTACCAGGAAAATGTTAAAAATAGAATGGCTGTTGAGCTAGCTTTCAGACTTACACAGCTACTGTGACGAAAAGAACAGCAGAAAAATAAGTGGATCAATAATATAGGAAAAAGATGCCAGAGGAGATGCTTGAAATATAAGATAAGTGTGGCACTTTCCCAACTACCAGGGCTCGATTAGCAGGTATTTGTGGGAGGAACCTAAGGCAGAATATCTTCTTCTGCTTTATCGCAAATAAATCACAGAATGCTTTAAGTATTTTATTGTTTAGAATTTTAACAGTTGTGCCAGAAAGTGTCCGTGACCCTTAGTGAAAGAAACCTGTAAGAAGCAGCTGTCTTTGTTCCAGGAGTGCAGGCCAGGAAGGCTGATTTAGGTTGAAAGTTCTAACCATGTACATAGATTAATAAGTGGCTTTTAATTGTAATTTTTAATTTAGAAATACAGCACATGTACCAAAAAGTGAATTAAAAATACTGGTACAGATTATCACATAGTTTACAAAACAAACCCTGAGTGTGAGCTATAGGATGCCGCACAACAAATCTGCCCGCACAGCATGTGATCACAGACCCTCCCCGTAATAAGAACGGCCACCCAGTTTCAGGCACAGACCCCTGCTACCAGTGTCACCACTCTGCTACATTCACATCTTTATGTAAATGAATCAAATGTCACTTGTGCCTGCTTCCTCCACTCACTCAACTGCTTTTGTAACATTTATCCCACAAGTAGCTGTTTATGTCTAGCTTTAAACAGGTGTTGTTGCCTGAGCCATAGGGCACAGGCCTTTCTCTATAGCAGCAAAGTAAAAAAATTAGTAAGTTGGCTATTTATAGGTATCACTGATTTATGTAATTTTTTCTACTTCAATTTTAAAGTAAAATGTATTACGTCTTTTAAAGGCTGACAGAGTTCACAATCTCTTACTCAAATAGTGTCTCTAAACCGGGTCAGCAAACAGCACCTCTTGGGTCAAGTCCACCCCCACTTGCTTTTGTATAGCCTCCAAACTAAGAAAGGCTGCTGCATTTCTGTGTTTTCATCAAAAGAAAAAGATCTGGTGACGTATGAAAGTCATATGAAATTCAGATTTCAGTGTCCCTAAATAACGCTTTATTGGAGCATAAGCATGCTCGTTCGCATGTACACAGCTGCCTTCACATCACCATGGCAGACAGCAGCTGCAACAGAGACCTTATGGCCACCTGAGCCAACCAGGGAGTTTGTCACTCATTCTACATAATCAGAAGAATCACGCCAGAAATTATTTTTGAAAATCTAGAGCCTAAAACTAAAGAGAAGAATCTGCCACCAACTCAGCTAAGCTGGGAATCTGGAAGGTCATACCAGAGTCCCGTAGCTGCCGAAGTACTCCTCATCCTGCCACGTGTCCTCAGGGTCATACTCTTCCACCTGTCTCCCCATGTGGTTCGCTGGGATGTACCCACAGCAGCCTGCCCGCTCACCCCACCACCAGTCAGCTGTCGTTTGTCTCAGGATAAGAATTTTTTCTCCCCTCAAAAAACTGAGCTGCAAAACAATCAGAAGCAAACAGACATTAAAATCCAATAAAGACGCCAGTAACTTCATCTCAGTGGTGACTGGGAGGTAAATTCCTGTCAGTAGTGAGTAAATTGGGGATTTCAAACAGGGCCCACAGGTAATTCCAGCAACTGACAAATTATGAAAGTCACAGCAGCAATTAAGAGATGTTTTGTGGAGTATCTATTTGAATAAATGATACATCTTAATTCCTACTCTTTAAAAGAGCAAGCTGGGCATGGAGCACATAGCTGTAATCCCAGCATTCTGGGTGGCTGAGGAAGGAGGATCACAAGTTTGAGCCCAACCTGGGCAACTTATCAAGTACTGTCTCAAAATAAAGTTAAAAAAGTACTGGGACATAGTTCAGTGGGAAAGCCATTGGTTCAAACCTCAGTATGAGAGAGAAAAGAGAAAGCAGTTGAGGGGAGACTGGCAGGAAGGAAGGGCAAATACTCTCAAATGGTTTTGGGCAGAATTTCTCAACAGCCTGTCATTATACTTGTGTTGTGGCACACTCAAGTCACAGGGAGGCTCACAGTTACAGAGAAAGCAAGCAAAGTCCAAACAGATGCTTTGGACAGCTTCTCTGTAACAGTGGGTTCTTTAGTGCAATTTCCAAGCAGCAGTGGAGCCAGTGCTTCTCCCTGGGTGGGTCAAGGGCCCCACTCCTCACCCAGGTATGCTCACACCCTACTAGGTCACAATCTGTGAAGATGGGAGGCAAAGGACATGCACAGGCTTTAAACGTCCCACTTGTTTAACTTTGGTATGACACTGCAAAATTCACATCTAGATTAACTACCAAATATGTTGAAATGCCTACATCACACGTGTTGCGCAGCTACCTGGGTCTCATCAGTGGCAGCATAGTCTGCGATGGCCACAAATTCCTCTGGCTGTGGCTGCACACCCTCCTGCAAGAGCTGGGCCTCGCCAAACCCCATGGGCTCCTCTTCCTGCTCCTGCCACAGAGACACAAGGACAGCACCATGGAGTTCCTTTTTTTCCATACAGGTGATTGGGATGGGTTCAAATAAATATTCCTATGAGTAAGGATTTATTAGGCAAATCCCTTGGGTCATCTTTACTGGCATAATTGAGGCTCTCACCTTCACTCCACCTTACTTTACATCACTGATATGACTTGCAACCTGAAGAGAATGTCAATAGGAGCACCAAGAAAAGGGGTCTACGACCCTTGGCTACACAGGCAACACTTCCTGAAAGTGAAAGGGCACACAAGAAAAAAAAAAAAAAAAAAAAACTATAAGGGTTTGGGTTCCAGAGACCTTTTCTCCCTAGGACAGAGCTAGTGGGCACAGCCAAAGGCCTATGGAGGGGCGTTGTGACCTGGCATAAAAGTTCCATAAATATCTGTGGAGCCCAGACTGCCCCACTGGGACCCATGCTGCTGGATCTGGAGGAACCCTGTCCTCTGCCACCTTCCATCAGGATCCACAGGCCTGGAAGACAGCCCTGGAGATGGCAGAGCCCCAAGCCACACATCCCTGCTCAACAGAGCATCCTGTCCCAATTGATGTACCTTTAACAAGCATTCCTAAACACAAAAGTAATTTCTGCTCAATTTAGGAAATGTGTGAAAACACAAAAGAAAACAAAAATATACTGTATACTCATCCTGGAATCAGAGATGACACTTAACACGTTGGTATTTACCCTTCCAGACTGAAGAAAGTGCACATTAGCACTTGCACAGAGCACTTGCTGGAATCAGTTGCCTTACTATGTCTCTCACTTCCTAACTCTGAATATTTTCCCTGATACTCAGTATGCTTCTAAACATATACAGATATACAGTGGTACCTCAGTTCACAAACTTAATTCTTTCCACGATTCTGGGTGCAAACTGATTTGGATGAGAACTAATTCCAATTCAGTGCTTAGGATCAATGTTGACCTTATGGGGAAATTTGATTTGCTTCTCATCCAGTTCAGATTGTGACCAGAATCAGGCAGAGAATTCAGTTCATGAATCAAAGTACCACTTGTACTGGGGGTTGAACCCAAGGCCTTCACATTAAATGACATCACTACCCTTTTTGAAAATTTTTTATTTTGGGTCTTGCTAAATTGCCTGGGCTGGGCTGGAATTTTCAATCCTCCTGCCCAAGCCTCCCAGAATGATGGGATTATGAGCATGCATCACTACACCCAGCTTCAATCCATATATTTTTATTTATTTATTTATTTTTCTTTTTCCCCCCCAGTACCGGGAATCGAACTCACAACCTCGCACTTGCCGGGCAGGCACTGTGCTGCTGAGCTAAATCCTCAGTCCCTCAATCAATGTATTTTTGATATTGATGTAGTATTCTAGTCTGTGAACTTCCATAACTTACATAATCTCTCTTAAATTTTGTACATTTGTACTTTTAGTTTCTTTCTATAATTACACTAAGGTCAAATTTCTTAAACATTAATCACACTGCCTTTACCTGACACCTTTCTTAGAATAAATTTCTGAGTGTGAAGATGACGGATCAAGACTCCAGCCCTTTGTGATCTTCGATTCTACCATCAAATGCCTCCAAAAGGGCAGGGTTCCTCACTTCCTTGGGAGGAGTAGAATTTGATCATGTGAGTGGCAACTGCCAATTTCCTGCACCCTTATCAACAACAGATATCGATCCCCTTCATCTTCACCAATTCCCTGGGTAAAAATTACTTTTTTTTATTACTTCCACTTGCCTTTCTTTGATTATTAGTACAGTCAAGCATGTTTTTCAAAGTTCTGATCGGCCATATTTGTACTTTGCTAATAGCCTGCTGTGTCCTTCACGTTCTCCCTACTGCAGTTCCACTCCCCTCCCACCTCCCTCACACACCTGCTCCATGTTCACCACAGACACCTATATGCCTGCATACACACACACGGGCCCAGTGGGTTTTTATTCCTTTTCACATAGCTTTTTTGGTAAAGAAGATCTCAGACCTTTTCATTGTATTTTGCTTTTCTTACACAGTAGTGTGGAAAACTTTCATATTTTCAATGATTACAGAATATTTAATTCTGGTTGATTTATCAACCATCCTCTATTGATTTTCATATGGTACCATTTCCCATCACCAAAAATCATGCTAAAACAACAACACAAAGTCTGTGCATGTATTCATATGTAAAGACTTTTTTTTTCTTGTTACTGGGAATCAAACTCAGGACCTCACACTTAGCAGTGTAAAGATATTTTCTTCCCAAGGGAGAGACTGGGCAGCCTGAAGGATAAACAATGATTCAAACATGTCAGAACCTTCACGTACAGGGTGTGCCTACTTCACTAGCAGAACACAGTACTAGCTGAACACCCAGTACAAACAGGCACCATCACTGTCTCTTAATATTTGGCAGTACCAGGTATGGTGTTGATTTCAATTATTTGGTAACATTTTTTTCATGGTTTTTGGTTGCTTAAATCTGTTATAAATGGCCTCTGCATTTGGTTTGCCCACTGTTTTATCTGGCTATTTGTTTTCTGCTTATCAGACTGAAAGAATTTTTTGTATTATGTATCTTATTTGCAATTTTGAGTAAATGTTTCTCCACATATATTGCTATTCTTTTTTTCAATAATAAGTAAAGTCAAAGTTAACAGGAATTATACAGCCACACTGAAGTGCACACAGACACACACACTTTTTTTTTTTTGGTTTTTCTCCGGTACCGGGAACCGAACTCACGACCTTGCGCTTGCCAGGCAGGCGCTTTGCCGCTGAGCTAAGTCCCCAGCCCCCACACACACTCTTAAAAAAGATGAAAAACATGAGACAATGGATGAGACATGTGAAACAAGCAAAAAAAATGTAACTTGTATGCAATCAGAGTCCTCCCAAAAAAGAGACAGAAAAAATAACTGAAAATTAATGGCAGAAATTTTTATAAAATTAACAAAAATATCACCTCAGATTCAGGATAAGTACAAAGAAAATAGTGGAAAAAAAAAGAAAAAATCCTGAATGTAGCCAGTGGAGAGGAAAAAAAGAGTTCAATTAACAGAACGAGACAGTGGTGACTTCTCACAGGAAACAACAGAGCCAAAAGATGATGAAATGACACATGCTAAGTGGTGGGAAAAAAAAAACTTCAAACCTAAAACTCTATATCAAGCTAAGACACATCTCAAAACCAGAGTCAAAATCATTTTCACTTACACCAAGGCTGACACTACATGATCAATAAGCCAACTACCTACCAAAATAAGCTGTTCATGTTGAAAGGAAATGAGCCTACAAAAAACTAAGTATCAGGAAAAACAGAAAGGCCTTCAAAGAAATGTAAGAGACTGTAAGACTTTATTTAAAAAATGGCTTTCAATAGTATACAGCAAGAGTGACCATCTAATCTAGGACCTGTAACATGTAGAACTAAATACACGTGCTGGAAAATGGAACTTGCAAGATTTTTACATTGTAAAGTGAAAAAGAACATGGAAAAAAGATTGCATATTGCAGTTTCTTGGGAAGCCACTAAAATAATATATAAAAAAAATACAAGCCGGGTGGGGTGGCGCAGGCCTGTAATCCTAGCACTTGGGAGGCTGAAGCAGGAGGACTGTTGTGCCTGGGCTACAAAGTGCGCTCAACCCAGCCTGAACTGCAGAGCGAGACCCTGTCTCAAAAAGGCAAAAAAAAAAAAAATGCTAACACAAAGATAATCAGCATCATCAGACTTTTCTTCTGTAGTGGAGAGTGCATTATCAGGATGATTTAACACACTACCAAGCGGGCTGGGGATTTAGCTCAGTGGCACAGCGCCTGCCTGGCAAAAGCGAGGTTGTGAGTTCGAGTCCCAGTACCGGAAAAAAAAAAACAACACACTACCAAGATTCACAAGGAATCAGGGAAATTAAAAAATATCATTTGTAAACCCTCTAAGTGACCAAAATTAAAGAATCTGATGCTGTCAAGTATCAGCACTACTGTGAGCTCCTGGAGACCTGTGAACCAGGGTGGTTGCTTGGGGGAACAACTGATCTTTCTCCAGTGAAAATGACTGTATCCAATTCCTGCCCCTGGCAATGCCATCACTGGAGGACGATGGACAGAGGCTGTTGCCACACAGCACTGTAAGGTGGGGAAACCTGGAAAAACATGCATTGTCCAACAAAAAGGGAACAGACAAAATGGGGTACAACCTTCTGTGCAAGGGTAAGAATATGACAGGCCTGCATACGCACCTATGAAAGTAAAGTGTTCACGCAAAGAACACGCAATGAACCCGCATACATACCTGTGAACGCAGTGTGCTCACACAAGGATCACTGACAAGATCTCAAAAGTATTGAAGCTGAAGTAGCATGACACACTAACAAGGACAAATACCCCAGAAGTAAAGTTATATGAGAAGGGCAATCACAGGTGACAGTGAGCATGATACTACTTACCCAAACTTTAAAGAGCACCCACAAAACAGTATCATAAATTGTTCAAGGTGGCATTAAACCATAAAAAAACAGTGCAGAGGTACACATATCACTCCCTAATTCACAGCACTGTTATCCTCTGGAGAAAGAGTAAGAAGTCTAGGTATAGAGAACAAACTTTTATTTACAATATCATTATTTCATATGTGTATGTTCTGAGGCAAGTATGACAAAATGTTAACAACTCTACACATAGTACAATGTGTACTATACTCCATGTTTGCAATGTTATTCAACATTCAAACATATAAATTTCCCAAAGGAAAAATAGGACTTCATGGAATTAAAACATTTTTGTGACTAATTCTAAGAAATAGACTTGCTGGGCATGGTGGCATACACCTGTAATCCCAGCACTTAGGAAGCTGAGGTGGGACGATCAATGCAAGTTTGAGGCCAGTATGGGCTACAAAGTGAGTTCAAAGCCAGCCTGAACTGCATAGTGAAACATTATCTCAAAAAGACAAAAAAAAAGACTAACAAACTGAGCCACATATAAACAAAATTCCTATATATAAAAACCCAAAGAAGGAAAAACAATCAGAAGAAAGTACTAAAATTGACATCACAGACATGATTTTTAAAAGTTTATTACAGTATTCATTTAATTGCACATAATCAACATTCTTTAAATTTTAAGGTGATTTCCCTGCTAACTTGAAACTCTACATGTCCAGAAGGCAAAGAAATAACACAAAAATGGCTCTCCTCTGATGCCAAGCTTACCTTCAGCACCGCTAGTTCCCTGCCTGCAACTTCACTAAATACTCCAGAACTATCTGAGGCCTCAAATACAGGGCTCTGGATGATTGTGCCGTTGGAGGCATGATAAGCATTTCCCTGGAAGTACTTATATCAAGTCAGAAAGTTGAAGACTCACATCCACTCTATTTCCCCCTTTAAATGTAAACATTATATTGTTGCCAGCCACCTTCCAAGGGACAAGAAACATTCTTCCACCACAGCTGTGAGCCAATGCATAGCACTCTGCACTGTTCACGTTCCTGAAGCACAGGCTCTTACACACCAGAACCACAGTTACCTGCAATTCACTTTGGGGACAGTCAGCCGGTGTTGCCATAGTTCACTTAAGCATTGCCTCATAACTGATGCTTTTATTGTTTCATTTTCCTGTCCTTCTCTACTTTAAAAGAGAGAGAGAAACATAAAGTACATGTTACACTGCTTGATGACTAAATTCACGTCACCTGTAAGTCCCTCAATAAAGGTCCTCTATCAAAAAATATGTGTCAATAGTATAGAAATGTAATTTATCATTACGAATCTTTAGAGACAACTAAAAGCATTTAAAAATTATACAAACTTCAATTTGTGCTTTCCCTACTTCCTACATGGTGCAAATCTTATTCCACAGCTTGTTAGTTTCTGTTAGATCACCATGCTCATTTGTGACAATAAATCCATGCCCATTCTCTCCCTGGAACTCTGACAGCTTTAACTCCATTTGAAGTCATTTACCTGGCGCTAGCAGTGTTTCCAATGGCAAAACCGTGGCCAGCTCGCCCAGACCCTTTCCCCCTCAACCTCATTTTCTAAGGGCACTCTAGAATGAGTGTCTTTTTCAAATACAAGCAATTATTTGTTTAAAGTTGTGTTTCACATCTAAATCAAGGCTGATATTAATTTATATACATTTTCAAGGGAAAGTCTGGGCCAGGATTGGTTGAGGCAGCAGGGGGAGGAGACATAACTCTAGAATACAGTCTGGGCAAGGGTCGGGAAGGCGTGGCTCCGATTCATAGGCCTCCAGCGGCGCGGGCCGGGGAAGGGACTTTGGGCAGAGCGCGGGCCGCGGGAAGTGGGCGGGACAGAGCTGGCTTGGACCCAGAGCTTGGAGCCGACACGGGGGTGCTCGCGGAGGTCTCGACTACTGTCGGAGGCATCGGTCCGCCAGCAACGATACGCAAAGTGAGGGCCCCTCCTTTAGGATATCCTGCCTCACCTGCGTTACAGCTGCCTGAACTGCCCATCAGGAAACCTACCTTGGCCTCGTTTCTCCGCTGAATATGAGTCTACACCCCAGTAGGCGACGTGCCACCGCCCTCCACCCGCGCAAGCGCAGTCCGCACAAACTGTCTGAGGCGTGGGTCCCGCCCAGTGCTCAAAGTCCCGCGCAGGCGCAGTCCGCACATGCCTCACCGTCTGGAAAAGCGGAACCGCCGCTTAGGTTCCACAGCGGCGTAGGACTCCGCGCAAGCGCACTTTACAGCCGCGTCTCCCGTGTCTCGCGAGGCGGGCGCGCCGGCGGAATGTTGGGCTTCGAAATTCCTGACCACCGGCTGTGGCTGCGGCTGGGGTGCCTGGCGGGCCTTCTTGCGTGACCGCTGATTTAAGGAACAGGCGTCGTTTCTGGTGCTCGCGCACCGGCCTCTGGGAGTCCGCGGGGCTTTCGAGAGAGACGGTCGCTGCGAGCATTCTCGCGAGGTCCCGCCGCGCGTGATGGTGGGGCCAGCCCTGGCTCCTGCTTCTCGAAGACCGCGCTGCCCGTGAGTAGCCGTGCACGCCTGTGCCCGAGGCCCCAGCGGGCCCAGAGACGCAGTGCACCTGTGCAGCGGCCTGGCGCAGAGCCTGTGACGAAGCCAGGGCCTGGCAGGCTGCGGGCAAACACGTGAACTCTGGGCCCCAGTGGCGGTGAGCTCGCAGGACCTCGGGCCGCGCAGCGTGTGCCTACACATGGCCGCAGCTTCCTGAGACCCTTGCTGGGTTTTCTAGGCCTGTCTGAAGAGAAGCTAGAGTTGAGCCAGAGCTCCCAAGGCTGACAGAGGCCCGGCGTGGTCAAGTTGATGGTTCTCAGAAGCTCAGGCGCAACGGGATGGGCCCAGAGTGGAATGCACTGCATAAACCAACTCAGCGTCTCCAGCTCAGCCCCCAGCAGCCTGACGAATTAGGAGAGGGTCTCTCCCTGGTAGATGACATTAGGCATAAAGCTGACGTACAGTAAAACTGATACTGGATGTGTGAAGAGGCGGGGGGAAAGTAAACCATATGCATTCTTGACCAAGAAAAAAGTTGAAGTAGATGTACAGATGGTACAGCTTCCGGAGCTGGCAGACTCGGACATTAATGAAAATTGGTGTGTTAAGTTTTTAAGGGAAAGGTAGACAAAATGGATATAAGATGAGAAACTAATATAGAAAATAAGGACATACTTTTAAAGTCAAACAGGTAAGCTCAACTGAAGTACTATAATACCAGAAATGACCAGCACATGGCAGAGTGGATGCATGCAGCAGAGGTAGGAACAAAGAATCCCAAACAGATCTAAGGAATTTATCCAAACTGTGGCACACAAAAAAGAACTGAAAAAAGCAGAGGCAGGAAAAGGGAAAGAGAAAAACACAAGGCCCAACAGGAAAGAGGTCAAATTAACTCTTTTATAATCTTGAACAAAACTTTTTTTTAATGTGTGTGTAATACTGGAACTTGAACCCAAAGGCACTCTACCACTGAGCTACAGCCCAAGCCCTCTTTATTTTTTATTTTGAGACAGCATCTCACTAAGTTGCCCAGGCTGGGCTCAAACTTGTGATCCTCCTGCCTCAATCCCTCAGAGTGCTAGGATTACAAGTGTGCATCACCACATCTGGCTATGGACAAAACATTTTGAAATTATCAACATACGTAGATGAGGAAACTAAAAACATACTATCCAGTAATGTGACCTCCAGAATTAGTAATCTTTAAGTCTTTAAGAGTAAATAAAGCTTAAGAGTTTATTTAGGCTTTTCTTCATTAACTCACTCATTTTGTATAAATACTCTGCTTCTATGGTTTTATTAGGGGCCATAATATGAGTCTATTGAGAAGAGCCTAAGGGAAGAGAAGCAATATGCCATGCTATGAAAAGTAATTATTTATTTTACCCAGTGGTTTAGTTTGTTTTAGCCCTTTGTCACATCATGGTACTCACCAACTAGTACCTCACATGGGTGTGGGGTGTGGCCCTAGAGTAGATTGTGCTTTCCGAAGTTGTCCACAGCTCTATCTCATGCTCTTCTCCAGTGTGGCCTTACCTCTTCTGCATCAAGAAGTAGATTTTTTAAAAAAAAAGTAAATTCTAATTCCCCTCTCTTTGATTTTGGGTTGGCTTTACAATCTCCCTGAAACCAAGAAATTGTGACAAAATAGCCCAGGATGACTTCTGAGGCTAGATCACAAAGCCTATATAGCTTCTACCTCATTCTCCTATGTGAGGCAGCTCACAGGTCAGAAGTTCAATCACTGTGGGATGCAGAAGTGGCCCCATCTCTCTGGCCTTCAACAAGGGACTAGACGTGTGAGGCCATAGTGGCCCCTCTAGACCACCTCAAGTGCCAGCTGAACTGAATATCACCAGTGACCTCAGTTGACACCAAGTGGAGCAGAAGACTGGCCCAGTCCAAATCTTTCCTATAGAACCTTTGGGTATCTAATTTTTTTTTTCTTTCGGCCATACACTTTGGGGTATTTTGTATGCAGCAATAGCCACTAGAATACTCTGTCGTGTGAGAAAGTGTCTTTCCTCCATGTGTGGTACAGGACATAAAGCCACTGATAATGGAGCTCTGGCCACTAAACAAGATCTTTCACCTTTACCCGTTGTGAGTATGGAGTTTATTTATTATTTTTTAAATGATTATTGAAAAGCAACTATAATTCCACTTCATGGTAAAAAATGAAAACAAAACACACCGGTTACAAGAGTATTAAAATATAAAATAGTAATAAATCTCACCTGAATTTACAAGACCTGTACACAGAAAGCTAGAAAACATTACAGAGAAATTAAAAATTTCAAGAAACATTTTAAGGTGAAACACTTCAAGATAATTTTCTATAAAAATCCAAAAGATTTGAAATCATTAAAACAATTTTGAAAAGGAAGAAAAAACTGGAAGGCTAACATGACATTATTTCCAGAATTAATATACATTTATACTATCCTATAGTTTGGAGCTTTTTTAATGGATTTGAGATTTTTACAAGAAAAATGACAAAAGTTCAGTGATAAAATTTGCATATAAAACTGCATTGTTTTTAGAAATATTCCTAGAAAACAAAGAATTAAGAATCAAGTGTAGATCCATTTAGTCCATTTTTTTTGCTGCTATAGCAGAATACTGTAGACCAATGATAGCAAACCTTTTAGAGATCAAGTGCCCTGGTGGGGCCTGGTGGCACACACTTATAATTCCAGCACTCAGGAGGCTGAGGCAGGAGGATTACTGTGAATTCAAGGCCAGCCTGGGCTACAAGGTGAGTTGAGGGCCAGCCTGAACTGCATGGTGAGACCCTGTCTCAAAAAAAAAAAAAGATCAAGTGCCTGAACTGCAACCCAAAACCCCCTTATTTATCTAAAAATGCCAACACTGCAATTAAACTTGAATAATGAAGTTTTAGTTTAGAAAAAGCAACTATTATCCAATGCTCAGCTGCTGGAGGGACTTGGCTCACATGCCATGGGTTCGACACCACTGCCATAGACTAATGTATGAACAACAGAAGTTCATTTGGTTCATGGTTCTAGAGGGTAGGAAATCCAAGATCAAGGGGCTGCATCTGGCAGGGGCCTTCTGGCTGCATCACAACATGGCAAGAGAGCTGTAGGAAAGAAAGCTAAAGAAAGACAAACACAAATTCACTCTAGCAACAACATAGCCAATTTTATTTCCATACTGAGGATTGAACACGGCATTTGCACTGAGCTACATTCCCAGCCCTTTTATTTCTTGAGGCAGGGTCTTGCTGAGTCATTAAATTGCCTAGGCTGAGGTCAAATTTACCATCCTCCTGCCTTAGCCTCCCAGGGTGCTGGGATTACAGGCCTGCATCACCACACCTGGCTAACACTAACTTTTGCTATGGTGACAGTAGTTCAAGGCAGAGCCCTCACAGAGAATCATCTCATACAGGTCCACCTCTAAACATAGTTGCACTGAATATGAAGTTTCCACCACGCAAATGTATGGGACACACTCACACCATGGTACTCACCTTCCTTTCACTTTTATTCATGTCTTTCCTGAAAGACTTAATTTTAAAAAGGCTGAATTTATAAAAAGAACTACAAAAAGATCATACAAGAAAACTCTTGTTCAGGATGATAGCTCAGTGGCACAGCACTTGCCTGGCAAGTGCAAGGTCCTGAGTTTGATTCCTGGTACCCCCAACCCAAAAAAGAAAGAAAATTCTTTTGTGCCTCTGAGGAGCAGGGTATTTCCATGTGCTGCAGGACCTGTGGGCACCCCTGCAATGCAGTAGGGACTTTGACTCTGGAGGCAAACTCAGGTGCAAACCTTGGCATTGGCCCTTATCAGTGATGTCACCAGGGTACATTACTTCCTTCCTATAAGCCTGTTTCCTCCTCAATGGTGAAGAAACATAGATATCTTGAAGAGGCTGAGATGCCAGCTGAATTTCTCCTTGTCAGGGATTGCCATGCTTATATTCCCTTGTTTCTTCCAAGTGTGACTTGTCCTGTGAGTGCTTTTGCAAACCTGAGGATTCTCTTCTATCCAAGAATGAGTCTCATCCCAAATGACACCCCCACAGACAAACAAATCCAGGGGTGTGGGTATCTGAACACTCTCGGGGGAACCCTCCAGGATCTGGACTGGACTCTGAAACAGCTCTAAGCAGCAGAGCACACTCATGTTTGAAAAGTGCTGACCACAGGACCTGGCAGCAGCCCTCTACCTGGTGGAAGCATCAACCTCAATATGCCCAGGTAGAGAACGTTGGGCACACAGAAATCCCAGCCAGGGATTCAGTTGATTGTTGTTAGGTTACAAAGTGTGTCCCTGAAAGTCACCCAAATCTTTACTCAGGGTGGTCTCTGTGTCCTGAACTGCACCCTGTCTGGTGCGGGCTGAAGCCAGAGCCTCACAGCAGGTGCTGGGTACACAGGCAGTAGCCTGCCTCATCCCCAGAGGGGTTCAACACTATGTACACACTCTCATCCCCAGGTGCCTGAGTTTTTGTTTGAAAAGCTGTGATCACAACACAGTCCTCATCTGCCGCTCTGTCCCACAGCCTGCCAGGAAGCGGGTGCAGCTCAGGCAAGCAGGGCCTCTGCACATTTTTGAGGAGCCCTATAGGGAAGGCCCAGGCCACCCAGGCTGAATCAAGAAGATTGCTGCAAGAATCCTGCTCATGAAATTTTGGAAAATGCTTCAACATATTAAAAATACATTAAACTAGTAATATAAAAATGTTTCACAAGACATTTAGAAGTATAGTGACAGA